CTGCAACGTATCTGTAGCCACATTTTCTTTATTCTTATTGTGTGCAGTATTTATTGTTAGGAGATCTCTCAAGCCAAATCATGTAGAAGCATGTTGAATAAACTTATATATCTTGTAGATGAAGCATTTCAAGGTTGAAATGAACAGGATATATTTGACCTTCTGCAACTGATTTCAGACAGCTTGTGTGTTGTGGCTTAATATAGTTTCTACCAAATTAAGATGAATCTTGGGGAACCTTTCTGTATCATGCTCTAGTTTGATGTTTTTAATGGATGGAAGATTAGAAGCAACAAGAAGGCTGTCAGGCTAGACTTCCACAGGATTCTCTATGTGCAGTGATTTCATCCATTTCAAAATCATTTTAACTTCTAAGCAAGGTGGCACTGCAGAGGAAAAGGCTGCCCATTTCAGATATTTTGACCAAATTCTTCTTTGACTATATAGACTTGTTAGCTCATGTTCCAGTTTGAAAGATGGACCTATTAAAATTTAATATTAGCCCCTGCATAGACACAAGGATACTTTGAGACGTAAAACATTGATTCTGAGTTTCTTGTCAAAGGGTACTGTGAGACTTCTATTCCAACCTGCAGAGGAGGGAGGAGGTGGTGCAGCTTACATGATAAAAGAAGGTGCTCTTGGAAGTGCAAAAGCAATATTTGGAATGCACATTGATTATGAACTACCGACAGGGGCCATCGCAAGTAGACCAGGCCGCTTCAGCTGGTGCATCCTTCTTTGAAGCAAGAATAGAAGGAAAAGGCGGACATGCTGCAGGACCTCACAATACCATGGATCCAATACTTGCCACATCATCTGTGGTTTTGGCATTGCAACAAATTGTCTCCCGGGAAGTAGATCCTCTCCATAGTCAAGTATTTTCCCCTATTACTTTTTATTCTTTGTTTATTTTCTGGTTTCATTGCAGTTATAATTTAACACTATTTTCCTGTTAGAATGGCATCCCAATCGCATTCAATTGAACGAATTTTTTTTTTATAGCTTAGGTGCTTTTATACCTGTGTCTGAATACATGTCAGCCAACACTCAAAAATAGCTAAACTGATACTAAAACTCAATTCTGTCAAAGGTGCTTACTGTTACTTATGTCAGAGGTGGAATGCATTGAATGTAATTCCACCCTACGTTGAACTGGGAGGAACTCTAAGAAGTTTATCAACTGAAGGCTTGCATAGACTAATGGAGAGGGTAAAAGAGGTAACTTCTAATGTTGTCCATTTCTGCTTAAGATCTTGAATTCAATGTGAAGTAGAGCTAGAGAATTTTGTAGATTTTTTGTTTTCCTTTCAGCGTTCCTAAAACTCAGATGCTTAGCTGATTTTCCATGCTTGGAGGATACGAGTAACACAGCTATATTGACAAAGAATGTGGATTCTTGGCGTCTGAAACTATTAAAGCATTCAAGAATGATTTCAGAGTAATAGCTCCTACAGAAAGTTTTATGTGCTATATGAATTCGTTTCTGTCTCCTATTGTTTGCGTTAGAGAAACTCGTGGATTTGATCATATCTCAGTGAAAAGAGAAATTTGTCTTTGAACATCGCCACAGTAATTGAAAAAGGTGTTCAGACGTTTGTTGTTCTTCGTGTTGGTGTGGCTTTGAGATAGCCTTTTTGTGCTTCAAGTCTGGCTCTCGTGTCGTAATTCTAGTACCTCATATCCCGTTTGAAACCCCAAAATCACTGATCAAATCCAGAAACTTTAGTTTGGGATGTCAGACAGAGTATGATGTGTGTTCTTTTGACGTTATGGTATGATGATGGGAAAAGTTGATCCACATATCAAGTAGTTGATTACTAAAAACTGTGGAGCTTTTGTAGGTTATTGAAAAACAGGCTGCAGTACACAGATGTAAAGCATATGTTGACTTGAAAGAGACGGAGTTGCCGCCAAATCCTGCTTGCACAAATGATGAGAGCTTGCACGAGCATGTACAAAGGGTTGGCTCACTCCTCCTTGGTCCTGCCCATGTGAAAGAAGCTAAAAAGGTTATGGCTGGAGAAGACTTCGCCTACTATCAAGAGGCGATTCCCGGAGTCATGTTTAACATTGGGATTCGGAATGAGAATGTGGGCTCAGTATATTCTCCACACTCTCCGTATTTCTTTCTGGACGAGGACGTCTTGCCAATTGGTGCAGCAATACACACCGCTGTTGCAGAGCTATATCTGAGCGAGCGGTTTTAACCATTCAGTTGTACCGGATAAATTATCGAGTGTGATACATGTGCGAGTTGTATTCAATGCCCGGGTCTGCATGTGTACATTTCATCATCCAGAGTTGCTTTGGATATTTTTCCCCTCGCAATTGCAACATCCAAGATCCAAAGGCGTCGAGGGTTGCGGTGAGGCATGCGTTTTGGTTGGCATGCTATAGCTTATTTTGGGGGACTGGCACCAAAAAAAAAAATTGTATCTGTCATTATGCATGCAGCAGCGCGCGGGTTAAAAGCGAACGGACTGGATGGTCAATGGTTGCAGGAAACCCGAATGCATCTTAAAAGTGAGGAATGCAAAGGCGTCTTTTTTCATACTCAATTCAGCACTTAAACTTAACTGTTCAGATATTAAGTGACACGTTCAGACGCGTTTAATAACAAAAAACTGAACATCTGAATGAATTAATTAAGTGACATTAAATTATTCACTTATTATTGAATGTGATATGAACTCAAATGTATTAGATTTAATACTTAACAATATAGTAATTTAATGGATTCAGAGTTCAGTTTTGTCAAATATACCTTGAGATTACTTGACTAGACGAAGTAATAATAGTGTCTAGTGGTGCTCCTTTCTTGGGTGGTTGAATTGACCCGTTTCCTTCGTTTGATTTTTTTTTTTTGGGTGGAAATAGGAATTAAACATTAATTAAGCAGAGTTTCGGCCTATCTATTACGGTGCAAAAGAGCCAGTACAGCAGGGAAAGCAAATCCCTTTCAAGTCCTCGTCACAGACGAAAGCGTTTCCTTTGTTTGATGACATCTAGCTAGCTAAGCCTAAGACAATCATTCAATACCTTGGGATGGATCGAGCTGTGGGTTTCTACTTTCTACCTCAGGATTGTTGCCCGGCCATGCATGCTGACTCATTTCCACGCCGAACCACCTAAGAAAGATGTCGGACTTTGCTCAGTTTTGCATTGCTACAGACAAAGTTGCATCTTTTGATCGATGCAACAAATACATCTGAAGGCTGAAGTTGCTTCGTCAAAATCAGCCAAGTGTTACCGATCGAAAATGAGTGATGAGTCCGGTCATGAGTTAATTACCAACCTGATTTTACTGGTTCTGTCGGTCATGAGTTAATTACCAACCTGATTTTACTGGTTCTGTCGTACATATTTATATTTGTGTGGTAATCTGTCTCAGAGCCGGTCACATAGTAGACACCTCCAAACAAAGCTGCCTGGTCACAATATATTGTGGGATTTTTCCTACGACTTCTCAATTGTACGAGTGCTGCATTTTAAGTAGATGTTCGTTAGAGCCAGTTCTTGATAGCTACTGCCGTTGTTGAATGACAGAATAGAGATATTGATGCAAATAGAGGGAGAGGAGAGATATATTTTGGGCAAAGAAGGTGACTGGGATACCTTTGCAGGGACGTAGATGTACGGGTCATTTCTCAGCAGTGTGTGGTCTTGATAATAATTGCTAAATGACTAATGAGGTGTAAGCTAGCTAACCGAGGAAGGAGAAGGATAAGAATAATCATTTTATTTTATTTTGGGACAACTGTGCCATATTTGGAGAACATAAAAACTGCACCAAGAACTTGTTAATGTAAAAAGAAATAATACTACATGATTTGGAGTCGAATTCCTCGTAATAATGTTAAGACGAGAAAATATCACAAAAGTGGGGTTGGCTACGATGATTAAAGGTAAGAACAGATTTTATCGTCCTTTTGGCCGCCGGCTGATCCGCACAGAAAGTCGACAAGGCGTGCTTTTCAACGGAGGGCATGGAATGAAGAAAAGGAAAGTGGAAACCTTTCTCCTTCTCCCCCTCAAGTTGGGAGATGGACTCGCCTCGGTGTTATTTGGGAAAGCAAAAGTTGCTCCAACAACCCCTGTGGTTAAGTTATTAGGTCTTTCTTTCACCCTGCACTGTGTAAGTGCAGCTATAGGAGTTAAGATTAGTTATGTTACCGTTTTCACCCCCCAAAAAAATGCATGTATGTTTTTGTGATGCAAGTCCATTTCTTATTTCCTTAGTGTTTTGGAAACCAATCATTATGTCATGTAGAATATTTGTACTATATCTAATCTATATATTATATGTTTGAAGACGATTTTTCAATCTGGCCCGTCCACTGAACCTCTAACTCCTCATTTTGTTTTTCTAGAATTTTGAATTACTTTATTCATAATAAATTCTTTTCAGCATTTTAATAAATACTACCATAATTGCATATGAGAAAAAATAAATATGATCCAGGTAAGATACTTCTTTTTTAGAGGTAAAAGCAAATATTGATCAGGTCATTTATTTTACTATAAATAAGATTTGACCTTTTGCTTCTAATAAAATGATCATGCATGAGTCGCATGATGTATTCAAGGTAAAAAATAATTGAAAAATCTAGGTGGGAACCAAATTTTATCCATTCAATTTTGTAAATGGCACAAATTTTCTATTCTGAAAGTGAACCACGAAAAATTTTATTTGGTAGAACATGAGAAATGTTTTAAATGACTTCCCAACTACATAATTGGTGGTTGAAAAATGCAGGGTACTTGACCTCGAAATGGATTTCTGTATCCTTACTCCTAAAATTTGATAGGTCAGCAAAAGAACCACCACATAGGTAGTAACTATAAAATGTCTATCCTGGCCTTAGAATGGGATAATATTCACCTCCTTTTAAACTTTTTTTATTTTTGGAAAAGAAAATAAGTAAGTGTTGCTCTTGCTTCTAACTTTTTTTTTTTCCAAGCCAAGTAATGACTTTTGTTATTTTACAAGCCAAGGAATGCTTGGTTCCAACTCGATTCTGAATTCTCTGCCTATAAATTTGCGCAGCATTCCCCTCTGATCTCCTCCTTCCTCCAGCCGCTCATACATTCGATGCCCCCAAAAAATAATAAAAAAAACTACTGTTTTGTAGTTCTCGGTTTGATTAAAGAGGCCGGCCTCTCTCTCTGTCTCTCTCTCCTCCTCCCCCCGCCCCTTGCTTGCTTAGTGCCCCTGCACGTGCCCTGCCATCGCAGACTGTGCTTTTTGTAGAGTAATAATCCCACCGCCCCTCGCTTTACATTGATGCGGAATAGTATACTTTCTCATTGAAATTCCCTTGATTCTCTTCGTTGATATCCTCTCTTTCACTACTTCCCTCCTCATCCGGATTTCTGCTGCTGCTGCTGCTGCTGGAGAATTTTGAGCCTTCCTATAAAGTTGGGTCCTTTCTTCTCCATAATCTATTGACGACAGAGAGCCGCCAATGGGTGAAGAAGAAGCTAAACAGCAGGTTAGTTTTGTGGTTTGCAGCAGAAACGTATGCCGCATTAATACTATAACTATTGTTTTTGGCTTACCGCAGTATTTTCGGTTAACATACGATCTCATTTGCTTAATTAACTTTCAGCCGGAAGGGGCCAAGGCAGAGGAAAAGAAAGAAGAGAAAACAGAGGAGAATAAAGAAGACAAGGCAGAGGAGAAAAAAGATGAAGCCGATAAGCCCCCCAAACCATTTGTTTTGTCGGTGGACCTGCATTGCATGGGATGTGCAAAGAAGATTGAGCGGTCCATTTTAAGGATTAGAGGTATAGGACATATATATATATATATATATATATATATATATATATGTATGTATGTATTATGAATATGTACATATTACCCTGCTTTGGTTAATATACTCGCAGGGTTTTCTCTTTTTTTTTTTTGGAAAAAAAAAAACACTTTTGACGATAAATTTGGTGGGCATTTGACGATCACAGGCGTTGAAGGGGTTGTAATCGACATGTCGCAAAACCAAGTGACTATAAAAGGTATAGTGGAGCCCCAAGCTGTATGCACCACCATTGAGAAGAAAACCAAAAGAAGAGCCCAAGTGTTGTCGCCGCTACCCGCAGCTGAGGGGGAGGTTGTTGCCTCGCAGGTTTGCTTTTTTCCTGTATCAATACGGCCATGTAGTACTATTTAAGTTCAGCATAAAAATGGGGTATTAACTCTGTATCAAGAACAATCTTGTTGGTTTACCAAAAATGATCCACCGTCATCGTCATCATCCAGGATAGCGGATTGACCACCGTGGAGCTGAATGTGAACATGCATTGTGAGGCTTGCGCTGGCCAACTCAAGAGAAAGATTCTCAAAATGAAAGGTACTTCACTTGCCTGCCTGCATTTTGGTGTTCGAGCCCAAATTTACCACAGTTTCTGGTCCTTCATTATCAGAACCGGAGAAGAGATCACAGAACAAAAGCTCTTAGCCCAAGGGCACTGATGAATTTGGGATTGGGATAAAAGAATTGTACGTAATACATGGTTCAAGTTCCAAAGACTGGGTCAACAGTTGCAATATTTATTGCTCAAGTTAATCAAGAATGTTTATAGGTGTAAAAGTTTTTTTTTTTTTTAAATTTTTTTGATAATATAGGCGTAAAAGTTTAATAGCTGGACATTTTGGATTTTGGGAAGAAGAATATCGTAAAAAAAGTTGGCATAACAAAGGTAGTAGTAGTAGTAGTAGTATTTCTAAGTATTAAATATTAGTACTAAATTCCTCCACTTAAGAGTACTGAAAAAGTTGTTTCCCTGGATAGGCTATTCCGGCTCATAATGTTAGAATATTGATCGAGGAAAAAAGCATCCAGGAGTTAAAGGGCCACCCCCAAAATCAAAACAAAAAGAAAATCCAGAGTTGAGTTTGATATACAACAATATATAATTCTCTGAAAAGTTGGGTATTTCAAATCAACAAAAGCGTTTTAATATTATTGATGAGTTCAAATATGAACAAGTATCAATCAACCTCTAAGGAGTATTATGGCAGGAGTACGCACGGCGGAGACGGAGCTAAGCTCCGGGAAAGTCACGGTGACAGGCAGCATGGACGCAAACAGGCTGGTTGAGTACGTTTACAGACGCACCAAAAAGGAAGCCAAAGTTGTTCCTCAACCCGAACCTGCACCTGCAGAGAAGCCAAAAGAGGAAGCATTAGCAAAGCCCTCGGAAGGGCCTATTAAGGAAGAGAAGCCACCCGCTGCAGAAGGAAGAAAGAAGCAAAAGCACCCCAAGTAGAAAAAAACCCGGAAGAAGCAGCCGAGAAGAAGGGCCCACAAGAAGAAGAAGTAGAAGAAAAGAAAGAAGGCGGTGGCGGTGAGAGCGGGAACAATGGTGATGCGGCAGGTGGGAATGAGGCGGTGATGATGATGAGTAACGTCGACGAGCTAAGCAAGCAACAAATGATGTATTATTATCAGCCACTTTACGTCATGGAAAGGATCCCACCGCCTCAGCTCTTCTCCGATGAAAACCCCAATGCCTGTTGCATTGCATAGTTTTTTTTTTCGAAAAAAAAGAAACTCAACGTTTATTACCACATCATGCAATATCAAATAAGTTAAAGGCACACATTCAACCACAGAGATTTGGTTTTTTCTAATACCTACCAGATCCGGTATTTGGTGACATGGTCCAGCATTTTTGTTAGTACTGGATTTTGTGTGTACTAATATGTACAAACTCTTTTCCTTAATTTGTGTGGAGGCCAAGATTTTTACAGCTGAATTTTACATTTTTTTTTCTTGTTCGAATCGACGGACTCTTTTAAGCTCAAGCAAGAAAAGGTTATTGTTGTAAGACTCGATTATGATCTCGTGGATCGCAGAGGGTTAAAAAAATAAAAAATAAAAATTCTGGTTGAGTTGCTTTGACCATTTTTTTTATTAGTGGACGTGCATGGGGATATTATTAATATTATATATGAGCGACGTAGTACAGTTATTTCTACCAACGTTTGCTTTAGAGTAATACAAGAATTGCAGCCACCAAATGAACCAGATTTCATATAATCGTAATATTAATGCTGATCTGAGCAGACTTAATTAGCTTCCATTTCCTTTTAGTTCGAAGCTCTTTTTTTTTTCTTTTTTTTTTTGTCGATGAACTATAATAATATTTACGTGTTGCTGGAAAACATAAGACGCGGTCACATATACCTTTTTCGCTTAGCCAATCATTAGAAGAAATAGCTCAAGTGTTGGTGGTAAATAAGTTAGAAATAATTTGGTAGCGGAAATTTTGGAAGGGAAAATGCACGTGTATAGCTCGAGCGGTCCGCTCCCCCTTTTTAGGGTATGGCGACCTTCCTAACAATCAGGGTTCGAGTCCTGCTGTTAACGCGTTCGGGGGATGGGGTCTCTCCACTCGGACCGGAGTGAGATCAGTCGGATCCCGTAAGGATTGACCCGAGCACCCGCTCTGTCAGAAAAAAAAAAAAGTGTATAAATATATATTCCAAGTCAATTAACAAGAGGTACGGTATTGGACTTTAAATAATAATAATTAAAAAAAATCAGAGGTGTGCAGGAATGAAGGATAGAGCGTGCAGCAGCGACTGAAAAAAGAAATTTATTATTAATTAAATTAATATATATTCATGGGGAAGCTTAGGTAATGGTTAGATAATGAATGAGGGGGTTCAGAACGCAGGAGGATGGGTTCCAATCCACGTGGTAGGGGAGGACTGACTGAGCGAGGGACATTCATTTATTCATAGTATTTATTTAGGCATGGGAAATGTAGTGAGATCCGAGTCATCCTAGTCTGAGAGTGACTTCATTGGCGGTGGCGTGGGGCCTCCGATGAGTACATATAGCAGTAGGAGTACATATGCGATGATGCCGGATATCCGACAGATTATTAAGGCTGGCGTGTCTTTTTTGTCGCATAGGGAGTAACTGACGAGGACTACTCTTACTTAACTTAACTGCTCCTATTAAACTCAGCGATTCTACTGCCACTCTAAGCACTAATCCAATAGTACTATCATAATCAAATCATCACAGACACATGTATGACTGTCCCGCACACCACCACCAGCACATTTGACTCCTTTTTCTTAAATTAATTAGTGCATCATCATCCATTCCATCATTATCAACCCGCCAAATCACGGAGCTAATTTGACATTATTTTTAACTAGTATTATTGGTATGGTAGTAGTAGTATTTTATTTCCAAAAGTGGAAACACACTGCCCAAAAAAAACAAAAATAATTCGGTACTGATCAATAGGTTCGAGCCAGGGAATCCCTATTTCATTTTGAAAAGAAAAGACAGCACAAAATTAGTGAAAATTTTTCACTAATGGAGGAATAGGCAAAATAATTTGTCGTGTGTGTGGTGGTGTAGGTTATGATTTATTGATCGCGTTACACTGCTAAATATCTCACACCGAGTTTTTTTAAAAAAAAAAAAAAAAAACTTTTCTAATTTGACTAGGTAAAAGCGTTTTTCTCAGTGCCTGATGTCGTGCTCAGGAATAACCAATAAGTCAGAATTTGCAGAGTTGGTGAACCTAAAAAGGCATGGGCAAGGAAACGTGAGCCCCAACAAATCAGATCAGATACACGTTATCCGGCCGCCTTAATCTCGCATATAAAGTAATTGAAAAATGCATGGTTTTTTTTTTTGGTTGGGTAAGAAAGAAGTTACTCCGTACCAAAAAAAGGGAAAAAAGAAAAGAAAAGTTTGGAGCTGCTACTATGCTGTGCGTCCCCATCTTGAATGCACGGCAACTTCTTCATGGTTAAGCAAAGCAAATTTATCGCTTTTCATCCATGTAAATTTTTGCCTTTCTCCAACCAAGAAAAAAAGAAGAAACACCACCACAGCAATTCGATCGTGAGGCGGCTTCTTTAACCAGTTTTAATTTGAGAGTCCATTCCGCCGGCAATGCATGCTGGAGATATTTAGCCAGTTATATATGATGATGACGTTCACGAGTCGTGCATGCAAAAGCTTGGCATAAATTATAATTGGATCAGAATGAAAAATGATTGTAAATACAATCACCACGCACGCCATATGCTTGATCCATGGCGGGTATTTAAGTTTAAAAATCTGATCCAAAGTAGAAATGCGAAAGCAACGGATTAAATGTCAGCTGCTTGAAGGTTTGTATATATTAACAAACAAGCAGCTTACTAATATCAGGAAACCAAAATTAAAAAATATCATCGTAAAGATCATGAACGAGAAAGCAAAACGGCAGAGACTTCATCTTTTTGAAGGAATCTTGGCTTGAGATGTCTGCTGCCTTTTACCACAAGTCGCGCGTATATATATATGTATATACTTTAGCCTACTGTGTGTTAGTACGCAGTATATATACCATATATAATACGAAGTCATTCACAGGCCAGTTGCTATCAACGCAATCACCATATATAATATATATATATATATCTATCTATATGTATATATATTGGTAGAAACTGTGACAGACAGACAGACAGAGCAGATCAATTGGTGGCTTCCTCTGTGCAGAGGATTCTGGTTTTCCCGAGGAAATAGGCTGATGGCAAACCTGCAAATAGTGCCAGCGGCGGGGATCACGAATGCTGTTGAGGCCCAATACGTAGAGATGAAGGTGCCTCTGTATTCTTACGGGTGCCAGAAGAAAGTCAAGAAGGCCCTAGCCCATCTCAAAGGTAAAATTAATACTCACTTCCTCTTCCAACTGAATCTCTCTCCGTACAGGGCCCTCAAAACGGCCCCAGTAATTTGAACTTTGAATGGCACAGATTTGATTGTTGGACATCATTCAGAAAGTGTCAAATCGCGTTATGTTAATCTCCTGTAATTTCCCATTTCGATTTAGAATTTAGAAGAACCTCTTTCCGCCTTCCAGCACCAATTTCGAAACTTGGATCCGGAAGAAGAATTCTATTGAAGTGTATCTTGGCATTCATCCAACTTGGGCTTAAGTTTTTTTTTTTAATCACACTTGGGCAAGAATTAGACTGAAGTGTCGCCAAGTTTTTTTTTTTCTCTTTTTGGTCCAAAAAAACGTGGCTTTTGAATTTTCTTTTTTTAGCAGAAGGGAGGCGAGTTTAATAAATTGCGGAGTAGACAGGAGATTATAATCCAGAATCTCTACGTTCCGGAGTTTCTACCTTAATCACTAGATCAAGGACCTTCTCGACAACCTAGGCTTACTTAAGTTGAGCACAGCCAACTTGACTTTTTTCTTTTTTGTTTTAAATTTCATGTTCAATTTGGTCTTTCAGTAAGTTGTACCAACTTGCATCTGAAGCATAATGACGAGGATAACTTTTGGTAGTTTTTCTTGAGCCCTTTAATTGCACTAGTAGACAGGTATATACTCGATTATTGTGGACTGCGAAGAGCAAAAGGTGACGGTGTGGGGAATATGCAACAAGTACGACGTGCTGGCAAGCATCAGAAACAAGCGCAAAGGAGCCTGTTTTTGGAAACCCGAAGACAACACGCAACTTCTAGTACCGGAGAAATTACAAACGCCGCCATCCTCGCCCCAATCTGACTCATGTCCAAATCCGAAGCCCACTTCCGCTCCATCTTTGGCCCTCGTCACCAAAGTTTAGGTCGGTCACTCAGCTGGAAAACTTGGAAGAAGGTCTTCATCAGGTCCTACTCCTTCTAATTAGTATTGTCCTCTTTTTTCCCTTGGGTTAACGTGTTACTTCAAGATATTCCCGGCGGCTGTCTTCAACTGAAATACTAAAACATTTCCAACCATTTTGGTTTTTTGGTCCATTTCTCCATTCTGTAACTGAGTACATGTACATTGGTAGAAAAATAAATGCGACTCGTGAGTTAAAAAAGAACCATAACCGGAGGTAGGGTGAGCATCGAATTCGAAGTCGGTAATTCGGTAGGTTAAAATCGGTAATTTTTGGTAAATGGTTTTGGAAATATTCGATCTAATTCGCATTCGAAATAGGAAATATCGAATTCGAATTCAATTCGGTAAACGAAAATTTACCGATGTAATCGAATTCGTGAAAACTGCTTCTTAGGGCATCGAACCAGTTGGATGGATCCGTTAACTACTTTGGAGATTATGACAGTGATATCATGTGCAGCAAGAAGAAGAGGTGCAGACACTCCTATGATCTGAATTGCTCTGCTCTGCAATTTAACAGCAGCGGCAATGGATTTTGTAGCAACTCATGGACAGACTGCAATGTCTTTCACTCTGGATTGGCGTACCCCTTTGGGTTGCAGGAGATTGCAGAGCAATTCAAAGACCATTCCCTGCTGGTCTTGAGGATTATCCCAAACTGGAGGAGATCCAAATCAAGGTTGAAGGAGATTGCAGGGAATGGTCAAAACATGCACAGTACCCCTTTGGGTTGAGCACTCTGGTGTAGTATTCTCGCTTAACCAAGATGCATTTGGATTGTGGAGACACCATAGGTTATGCACAGACTGCACCGTCTGGGCAGATGGATTTGAGCCAATGGGAACGATTTTACCTGATGGGAACGAATACTAATTTAAGGCAAAAGTCTGAAATTGGAACATCTGGACATAAGGATATTATTTCCTATTTAACTTAATTCGGAATTTCGAAATTGAAAACGGTAATAATTTACCGTTTTACCGGAATAAATTCGAATTCAAAAACTATAAAACCATTTTCGATCCTAATTCGATTCTAATTAATTCGATATCACTGATTTACTGACCGAATTACCTAATTACTGAATTCGAATTATCAAATTCAAATCGAATTCGATTGGTAATTCGGTAATTACCGTAATTAC